CCCCCAGAGGGGTCTGCCAGGGAGACTGCAACCGGCCGACGGAGCGGCGTGAGGGTGGTGCTGTCGCGAAAGAAGGAGCGAGAAGCACCTGAGTCAAGTGTGAAGGTGTACAAGGCCTCAGCAGTCGCAGTGCCAGAGAGAGCAGACTCACCAGCACCTAGAGCAGAAGCCTCACCAGCACCTAGAGCAGGAGACGCACTAGCACCTAGAGCAGCAGCCTCACCAGCACCTAGAGCAGCAGGCTCTATACCTGGGTCAGGCGGTACGCACAGGTAACAAGCACGGTCAGCACTAGTAGGCAATGCATACATGGCATTGAGAATAGCATCATACTCAAGAGCAAAGATATCTACCCTCTGCCCAAGCAGCTCCAGCCAGGTGGGGAGCTCAGCCTCGTCGCCAAACTCGGTACGCCAGGCGTCGCTCAGACGGGCGAAGCAGCGGGACTGTGTGTGACCAAGCGTCCCGCAAGCCTGACCAGCCCGATCACCTGTGCGAATGACGTACGGGCAGAGAACGGTACTCCGAGACCCTCTACTCTGAGCGTACCAGTCGTGAAGCTGCTGGGACGTAAGTTTCTCGCGTGGACGCCGCTGCAGCTGCAGCTGGCCACTGCCAGACGCTCCCAACTGACCAGCTCCAGGGCGACAGCTACGACGGCTACCGCCACAACCCCAACTAGCGTACCACTCACGAAGCTGCTGGGGCGGGAGAGACTCGCGTGGACGTCGCTGGAGCTGCATCTGGCCACCGCCAGTAGTAGTAGTAGCAGCAGTAGCAGTAGCAGTAGCCTAGCAGTAGTAACAGAAGTAGCAGGAGTAGCAGCGCAGGCAGGGCAGGCGCGGCAGGCAGACAGGCAGGCAGGCAGGTAGATGGCGCGGCAGCGCGCGAACAAGGCAGGTGCTCACCAGTGGCGGGAAGGGCAGGTGCTCGCTGGGCAAGTTGGGCCGGCGCTCGGCGGGCGGCGGGGCCGCAACAGCGGCTGCAAAGTAGGGCCGCGTCAGCTGCAGGGCTGGGACCACGACAGCGGCAGGGCAGGGCCGCGGCAGCAGCTGCAGGGCGGGGCCAGGCGGGGCCGCGTCGGCGGCAGGGCGGGGCCGCGACAGCGGCAGGGCGGGGCCGCGTCAGCGGCAGGGCGGGGCCGCGTCGGCGGCAAGGCGGGGCCGCGACAGCGGCAGGGCGGGGCCGCGTCAGCGGCAGGGCGCGCCGCGACAGCGACCTGGCGGGGCCGCGTCGGGGGCAGGGCGGGGCCGCGACAGCGGCGGGTCGGGGCCGCGTCGGCGGATGTCGAGGCTACGTCGGCGGCAGGGCGGGGCCGCGTCGGCGGATGTCGAGGCTGCGTCGGCGGCAGGGCGGGGCCGCGGCAGTGGCAGGGCGGGGCCGCGTCAGCGACCTGGCGGGGCCGCGCCGGCGGCAGGGCGGGGCCGCGTCGGCGGCAGGGCAGGGCCACGTCGGCGGCAGGGCGGGGCCGCGACAGCGACCTGGCGGGGCCGCGTCGGCGGCAGGGCGGCGCCGCGACAGCGGCAGGGCGGGGCCGCGTCGGTGGCAGGGCGAGGCCGCGACCGCGGCAGGGCGGGGCCGCGTCAGCGGCAGGGCGGGGGCCGCGTCAGTGACCTGGCGGGGCGGCGCTCTGGCCTGACGGGCCTGCAGGGGCGGCTCGCGGGCCTGACGGGCCTGCAGGCGCGGCTCGCGGGCCTGACGAGCCTGCAGGGGCGGCGCACGGGCCTTACGGGCCTGCAGGGGCTGCGCGCTGGCCTAGGGCAGCAGGAGGCAGCGTGAGGGCTGCAGGACGGCGCGCGCAGCGCAGCACGTCTCAAGGCAAGGCAGGCAGGCAGGACAACACGTGGGGTAGCGCGGTAACCGCAATGGTAGGTGGGCCCGAAAAAAAGACGGTCCTACGGACCTAGTGCTCTGATACCATGTTAGAATCTAGCAGCAGGAATGAATGAACTATGAAAGAGTTGGGTACAAGTATGAAACCCTAAAAGGGGTTGTACCCCATATTGGCTACCCCACTACAGCCTACACATATATAACATGCATATACTTTGACATGCCGACGCTCTAGGTGCTAGTGCGTCTACTGCCACAGGCCCTGCCTCAGCTGAGGCCTTGCACACTTTCACGCTTGACTCAGGCGCGTCACGTTGCTTCTTTCGTGATTGCACCATAGTCACACCACTCGCAGCACCTGTCACAGTCTCACTGGCTGACCCCACTGGGGGCCCAGTAGTTTCGCGAGCCTCCACTGTCCTCCCGTGTCTGGCAGTCCCCTCCGGGTCTCTCTCAGGTCTCCACCTCCCCGCGTTCTCGACGAACTTGTTGAGCAACGCAGTTCTCCATTATGAATGGGTTGACACCTTCATTCCTGGAGGACAACGTGTGGCGATCTGTAAGTGCTCACGGACTGGCCGTCACCTTGCTACGTTCACTCGTCAGCCTGGGTCCGGTCTGTACACCCTGACCACTGCGTCTGCACAGGTGGCTGAGTCAGGTCAGGTGGCTGCGTCGAGTTGGGTGTCTGCGTCAAGTCAGCTTGCAGCGTCTTGCTCGTGCCAGGTACTCTCTCACCAGACTCTCCTCTGGCACCACCGCCTAGGTCACCCCTCGCTGCCGCATCTCCGCAGCATGCACTCCCGTCTCCTTGTCTCTGGCCTTCCCAGGTCCGTGCCCTCTCTCCCGCGCTCGCCTGCACCGCCGTGCCTTCCTTGCGTCGAGGGGCGGCAGCGCGCCGCTCCTCACTCCTCCGAGTTTCCTCCGACCACTGCTCCTCTGCAGACTCTCCACATGGACGTGTGGGGCTCGGCCCCCAACGGTGGAACGCCGGCCTGACAGCTTCACCTCATGGAGACGCTATCATCCCCTCCTTTTTCCTCCCCAGTTGCAATGGTGACGGAGCAAGCAATGCGTCTGCTGCATGCAGCGGCATGCCCTACGCTGACAAATCACCTCTCTTTATCCCCCTTCCCAACCCCAATCCGCCTTTCCACCGCCCCCATCCCTCACCCTTCATGTCGTTTCTCACGTGGCAGTGGTGATGTTGCAGGTACTATGACTGCTGCATGCATGCGGTATGCCCCAGGTTCACAAGACAAAGTCCGCCCATGCTTATCCCATGCTGACTTAGTATGCACCAAGCCTCTCTCCCCCCTTTTCTTCCTCCATGTCTTTTCGCAGGTCGCATTGGTGATGGAGCACGCACTGCGCTGTCAGAATGTCGATGTTTGTCTAGCCTGCAGTGGGGTACTCTATAGCGAGTACAACCCAATTAGGGTTTCCTATATGTATCTCAACTGCTGCTAGTGAAAACCACTCTTTCCTGTTTCTCGTTTTCGCCTGCTGTTTCGACATGGTATCAGAGCAGGTCGACCCTCCTGGGTCGATCCTGTGGATGGGCCCGCCACCTAATGCTTCCGCTGCTGTCCTGCCTATCGCGCGCCCCGGGCGCGCGACGTGTTCAGCTTGCCGCGCGCTCGGGTGCACGGCGTATTTTTCATCCCGCCGCGCGCTCGGGGCGTGCGGCGGTTTTCTGCCTACCGTGCGCCCCGAGGCGCGCGGCGGTTTTCTGCCCCGTCGATCCGCGCGTCGCCCCCCGTCGCCCGTCGCAGCGCCCCCGGGGACCCGCGCGTCGCCCCCCGTCGCCCGTAGCGGCCCGCGCGACCTGCGCCAGGCCCGCGCACGGCCCGTACAGCCCGCGCGCGGCCCGTACGGCCTGCGCCAGGCCCGCGCGCGGCCCGTACGGCCTGCGCCAGGCCCGCGCGCGGCCCGTACGGCCTGCGCCAGGCCCGCGCGCGGTTCGTACGGGCTGCGCCAGGCCCGCGCGCGGCCCGTACAGCCCGCGTGCGCCAGGCCCGCGCGCGGCTCGGGCAGCCCGCGCGCGGTTCGTCCGGCCTGAGCCAGGCCCGTGAGCGGCCCGTACCGTCTGCCCCAGTGCCGCACGCCGTCCCCCGAGCTTCTGACCGCACTCCTGTGTTAGGGTTTGGGGGTGGAGAGTATGGGGGTGCCGTGTGTGTGAGCCGTCCCCTGCTCCTCCTCCTCCTCCTCCTCCGTCTCCCACTGCTGCAGCTGCCGCTGAGGGGGGTGGATGTGTTGGAGCCGTCGGAGTGGTACGAGGGGGGTGGCGTGTGAGCGGTGCTAGTGGTTCAGCAGGAGGTGTGTGAAAGGGGTGTGGGACAGTTGGGGGAGGTTGACCGGAGGTAGCCGACTTGTCGTCCGCAGCGCCTGAAGTCCAGAGAGCCACGACCCCCTGTGGCCGTGTAGTCCGGGGCTCTGCGCCCGGTAGCCACAGTGTGAGCACTCCTGGTGAACTATTGCACTGCCTGCTTGTTGTGTTGATTGTACCCCACTTTGACTATGGGGGTGTGTCAGAATGTCGATGTTTGTCTAGCCTGCAGTGGGGTACTCTATAGCGAGTACAACCCAATTAGGGTTTCCAATATGTATCTCAACTGCTGCTAGTGAAAACCACTCTTTCCTGTTTCTCGTTTTCGCCTGCTGTTTCGACATGCGCCTGCTGCACACATGCGGCATGCCCCATGCTGACGTGGACTACATCAACTGTGATGGGCCTGTCATGTTGCATGCCACATGCTGACGTGGACTACATCAACTGTGACGGGCCCATTATGCACCAGCTGCTGCTCAAGGCACGCTCGTGTGTCGGTGGGTTATGGTCTGACAGCCTCGGTCATGCGGGCTTGGGTCACACAGGTTTGGAGCATCGGTCGTGCGGATTCAGTCATGCGGGTTCCGTTGTGCGGGTTTAGTCACAGGTGAGCTTGTGTGCACGGATAAGAGAGCTTCTCGCCCAGGACCTGAGGGGGAATGTGAAGCTGGAAGGGGATTTGAGGTGCTCTCCCTGCCTAACTGCCTCCGCTGCCTCTCTAGTAGGGATTTTCGCCTAAACATTGAGCATTAAAAAAAAAAAAAAAAATCTGAGGACATCAGCATTGCCCCACTTCAATAACCTGGTATGTATAGCCAAACCCTAAACATTTTCACTAAATGGCAACGGAAAGCATGTGATGCAACCTTCCATTCCCAGGCAAGGCCACTGGAGCCCCAATTTCCCAGCCAATTCGGCTCCCCACTCTATCAATATTTACCAGCCGCATCAACTCTCCCGCTGCTGCTACAGACACGCTTTCTGAAGCCTGTGCCTGCGGTGGTGGGGGCTCGACAGTGGGGGGTGGCTGTGAGAGGGCGAAGAGAGAACGCTGAAGAGAGGGGAGCGAGGAGGGGAGGTGAGGGAAGGACGAGGAGGTGTGAGGGAGCAGGGCGGAGAGAGAGAAGAGAGTGTGGAGGTCAGGGAGGAGGATTTCTCGCATCACTCCTGGGTCGTGCGGGTCGCTCGGGTCGTGCGGCTGGAAGAGAGCCAAGAGCCGGCCTTCACACCCCACAAGCTGCCGCAGCCTTCCCAAATTGGCAGCACTGCCTGAATTGGCAACAGCAGCAGTAGCAGCAGCAGCAGCAGCAGCAGCAGAGGCAGAGGTAGCAGCAGCAGAATTGGGAACAACGAGACTGGAAGCTGCATTGTTGCTGGCACAGCTTGGTAGGTGTGGGTTGAGTGTAGCAGCATCCAAGTTGAGCGGTGCAGCGGGTGCGCAGGGAGGCACGGGCGAGCAGGGTGGCACGAGTGGGTAGGGTGGCGTGGGTGGGCAGGGTAGGGTGGAACAATGTCCCCCATGCGAGCCCCTCCTACAGGGGTAGAGGACGTGAGGGGACGGGCGAGGAAGAGGAGGACGAGGAGGGGAGGGAGAGGAAAGGCGAGGGCCAGCAGGGACCCATTTCCGGTGAAGGTGGTTGAAGACAAGAAGAGAGTGGGAGGGGTCGAGGGAGCAGAGCACGGAGTAGGTGGCGGGTGTGGCATGCGTGGCATGCTTTGTCCTGCTGCTCTGGCCGCCTAGTGGTGTTTGAAGCGCCTCAGGAGGTGCCGCATGGCACGCTGCGCTGCTGCGTGCTTTCGTTGAGTTTCCTTCTGCTCCTGGCCTTGCAGTCACAGCAGACAGAGTCACACCTGCTACAGTCACATCACCTGTTCCAGTCACATCCGCTACAATGACTTGTGCCACGTGTGTTCTGGTCCAGATGGCATGGATGGCATCAGACTCCCCCACCACCCTCCACATCTCAGCGCTCTCCCAGTCAGCCTCCAGCACACCTGCCTCTGATACCATGCTGCCGCTGTGTGTGTGGCGGTTGAAGCCCCCCGGGTTGAGACCAAAGCAGGGCGAGATGTATCGTCGGACAAAGGCCCGCCCTCCAAGCACAAGCGAGTCGAGCCGTGGGAACTGGTAGTACTGCTGCGTGCTGCTGCTGTTGCCGCCGCCTTGGGTCAAGGCACACCCACTCAGCAAGTCGCTCGTGCTGCCACTGCTGCCACCGCTGTTGTTGCTGGTGCTCTTGTTACTAGAGCTGCATCTGCCCTTGTTACTGTCACATTCGTCACTGTCACAATCGTCACTGTCACATTCGTCGGCACCGAATCCGTCGATCGGCAAGTCAATGCACATCGTGCACATTCCCAGGAGTGGGTGGCGTGAGTGGCTGCTGGGAGAGGCCTTGCCACTGCCACGTGACAACTTAGGAGAAGCACTGCCACGTGGCCACTCGGGAGAAGCACTGCCACGTGGCAAGTTAGGAGAAGCCGCAGAACGCGAACAAGCAGGATGTTTCTCAGCTGCCCCTGTTTCTGAAGCGCAAACTGCAACTGTACCACATGAGCCAGCAGCGCTCGCGCGCGGGAAAGACGGAACAGCACACCCTCCAACAACCACGAGGCAATCCCTCTGCCCCCCATTCCACCGCACCCCACCCATTCCAGCCACCACCGGGTCCAACCTGGGCAGCATGCACGGCTGCTGCACGTCAAACCAAGCGCCCATGTGCCAGTCAAACACTGACACGTGGCGCACGTGCTGTGGCTTTCCTGACTGGGAACGCACCGCGCCACCCACAATCGCAAACCCGGTTCCAGGAACCGCAGCGGCAACGGCGCCGTAACAGGCCGGGTCGGAGTGGGGGTTGGTGGGGGGAAGCGGGGGCAGGCGGCGCCACCTGGGGGGGAATGCGTTGGGGGCGCCGCAGCAGACACAGAGGTCCGGCGACGACCCGCACCTGTCGCAGGATTGGTATGGGTAGCACGGGTCGCAGGATTTGCAGGGAGCGCAAGGGCCGCATGGGCCGCGTGGGTGGCATGGTCCGGTGGGATAGCAGGTTTCACAGGTGCAGCAGGCGAACCACTGCAGTCGCTGGCTGCCTGAACCCTCGCCTCCGCTGCCACCCACACACGCCACCAACAGCGCAGCCGCACCCGGGCTCTCACAGTGGGCCTCCTTCACACACTGCGCTAGACCCGCTGGGCTTGGGAGATGAGATCCCAAGGGCATCGGTGGTAGATGTTTCTCCGAGTCACTCAAGAGACTGTTGGGCAGAAAATGAAACCCCCCCTCGTCTTCCCCCAACGCCTTCCCCTCCCCCTTTCCCTCCCCCACCCCCTTCCCCCTCCCTTCCGCCCAACGGTGGCGCAACGTCTCCCCTCGCCCCGCACCCCCCCCTCCCCCTTCTTCCGCGCGGACGCGTCGTCGCAGGCGACCGAACGAGGCGCTGCGTATCGCAGCCGCCCAGGCGCGCGACACGCAGCGAGCGGCGGGCAGGTCCCAGAGGGACAGGCGCGACATACAGGCGAGCGCGAGGTCATGGGGAAGACCGGGGAGCAGATGATTGCACTCGGCGGAGGCAGAGACGGACAGCATGGAGAGCTGGCAAACGCGACTCGGAAGTGAATTAGGATATGGTAAAGTCTAGGAGCAGATTGCACTCGGCGGATGGACGGACGGACACCCGTGACAGGTGCAGCTTCCTATATTGTGCTGCTTCAAATGCCCTCTTTTACGTCGACTCACATGTCACCCAGCGGCGGAAGCAGGGGCGGAAATCATACGGAGGTCCCTCACAGCAACTCGCTTCTGCTCTCACAGAAAAGGCCTCGCCGCGACGGCGACGGGACGGGCTTTCTGTTCAACGGCCTGTGCGACGACGAGACGGCCGACAAGATGGGCGACGAGCAACAAGCGGGCGACGAGCTGGGCGACAGGCTTAGGACGCCCCGGCTGAGATCCCTGACGACGCTAATCGGAACAATAAACGTGGAGAAATGTTCCAAATGAATCGACGAGATTCTCAGCGATAAGGCTTGTCGGCAGATACTGGTGCTTCTGCTTCTACTTCCGCTGCTACTGATGGGACTGGGAGATGATGAAGCCATGAACTTTGTAACCGAGAGGTGTCCGCAGGTGCGGCTGAATAAAACAATGTAACCTATAGGAGCCGTTCTACACCGAGGCTTGCGTCCCGTCCGGCCGGACTTGGGAATGACATGACGCTGCTTGCTTCCCGCTTGTGTCGTCCGCAGAGCGCTTTCCCTGGCCGGCGCGCCGCATGGTTGCAGGCATCGAAAGAGGGCACCCTCTTGTATAGTAAATTAGTAATCCTGGCCGGGACGGGATCCGTGGTTGCCTGGCGGGTCCGCAAAGAAACGTGACCGTCATGGAAGCCTCGCAGACTGTTTTTTTGCATGATTCTCGAAAGCACCATGTGATTGCCTGGCGAGACCGCAAAGTGCGTCACCATTATAGCGGCCCAGTCGTTGAGTCTGCAATGCGGCCCCTAACTACTTGTTGCATCAACATGCGTGGCAGCATTGGCAGTGGGCACATGGGAAATCACATGCACATGTGTGAAATGCTCCACATGCATATATTCGCGGGATGGGGGAGAAGCGGAAAAACGAGGGAATGAGGGAGCCGGTTTGGTGCAGGGCTGTCGCTACAAGGGAAAATGCCCTTAAAGCCCGAGTCTAGAATGGTAAGGCTTCAAGAATACTGAACTTGAAAGGTGTTGGGAAAGCGACGGAATGAGCAAGCGATGGTCATGTGAAGGTCACCGACATGATGGGAGAGCGTGGGAGACACTCAGAGTAAGCGTGGGCGACGGACGCGGGAAGGGAGAGCCACCTAAAAGGCGACGGGAGGGGAGGCGAATTCAAGTTCAAGAATCTTGAACTTGAAAAGTTGCCATTCTAGACTCGGGCTTTAAAGCGACGGGCAACTTTTGGCAGTGTTGGGTTCAGAAGTTTTTTTTTTGAACCAGGCTTGCCAGCGCGAAAGTGCTGGCTGGCGAAAACCAGGATTTCGTGCGGACACTTTCCATCCGCAGTAACAGTTCGCCAGGGTTCTGGGTTTTGGGTGGCAAATGTGCACCGTCGCTTTAATGCCCTGAGCATTAAGGGTTGAGTTCGGCCTAGGTCCCCGAATTTAAGGGTTGGGTTTCAGGTCAGCCCGTCCGCCTAAAGTGCTGTGTTCGAGACTAGCCCGGATTTCAAGTATTAGTCTTGGGGCTAGCCCTTCCCCTTCGAACTGATTCCTCCCCGACCCGCTCCATTTCCCGTCATCCCAGGCCCATGTGCAGTATAACTTTCCCAAGAGCCAGTTTCGATGTACTCTGACACTCTCAAGGTTGGGGCCAGAATCGGTATTTTTCGAAGTCAGAACCCGAGCTGCAAGTCAGAAAGAACCTAGAGTAGAATCGGAGTACAAACTTAGTGCTAGATCTAAGACAGGGCTACACAAGTACTATAGAGGTCCCAGTACTTCACTTCACCCTTACAACTTTGAGTGGGTTCGGCGTTGTTGCCGATTCTTTCCGCTAAGAGGTTTCATTCAGTGACTAGCAGGCGCGTAACGAATCAATTTGGATGGCAGTGCAAAACCAGGGCGATCTCTTGTCTTAGCAAAAGTGCATAACACTTTGTAGCCCTGGTTTCAAGTGTTGAGTTTGGCTCCAAAACGTAAATTTAAGGGCACATTTCGGGGCAGCTCAGCCTTCCAAGTTCTCGCCCCCGAGCAATCGACAGCCCTGGTCTGGTGGGGTGGGAGGGACCGTGGACTTCCAAATTCCAATCCATGGCACAAGTCATACACCTTACAAGAACCGACGCTGTACATTTGTAGAGGGGCACTATCACATACAGTTGAGTCACATGAATACACTCCAGATTCATCTTTACGGCTATACATGACTGTACGAGCTGACACGGCAAATTCCAACTAGTTCGGGGAATTACTGCGAGAGACTCTGGTGGACGATATGCGACGCAATCGAAACTTGTTTTTGCCTCCGCCACCCAATCAGGGCGTGTTCCTGCGGCCCCTTATCAGGCCAACCTCTTATCAGGCTCGCGTCACACGCATCACACTGAAATTCACGTAAACCCGAAACCCTTTGCGCATTGTATCAGGCAAGCCTGATAGGAGGTTTGTCTGATAAGGGACGGATGAACACGCCCTTAGGGCATGTAACCTTTTCACTTTCCATCGTCCAGACTTTTGTAGGGTAACTAATCTCGCAACACCTCGTAAAGGGTTTCGGGAGCCCCCTTGCTGTTGGGCTGAGAAAAAGCCCTTAGGATCGTTTCAAGGCTAAGACCCTGTGTAGGAATGTTGTCATAGCAGAAGCGTTCTTAGTGAACTATTGAACCACCTTGCACTGGTGTGTAAGAGCAAGAGATTAATTATAGCAAAGTAATGCAGGGCTTTTATATGATTACAAGGAATATGAAAGGATGCAGATAACTGTTGCTGTAGCTGTTGCGGTTCGATATAGCGACGGCTCGGGCAACTGCTCAGTGTCGAGTCAGTTGTGTGTCCTTGTTGCCGTGCTGTCCTTTTGTCAAGTCAAAGGTCGGCGACCTTTGACCTTCGCGTAACCTCCAGCTGTTGTTTTCTGTCAACCTCCTCGGTTGACTCGCCGCTTCTTCGCTGTAGTTCATCTCGTTTATAGTTCCGTATTTCGACACAACAGAAGCGTTTAATTAATTGTTTCCAGCACTCCCCTTCGCTTCTCAAGTGTCCTCGCTGGTGACGTGGCCTTGTCCAGTTAGCAGCATGCAATATTCGAACTTCTGCTTTCCGAGTTTCTTGGTCAAGTAATCAGCTGCCATTTCGGATGTGGGACAGTAGGACAGTTCGAGTCTCCCCTTCTCGATCTCGTCCTTCACGAAGAAATATCGAAGGGCGATGTGCTTCGTTCGATTCGCGAACCCGTTTTTGTTCGCTATGCGAATGGCCGATTGGTTGTCGCAGAACAGGGAGAAGTTGGGTAACTGAGCCAGCTTCGCTTCTTCCAGTAGTTCGCGAAGGTACAAACCTTCCTTGGTGGCTGAGCAGAGTGCAATATATTCTGCTTCAGCTAAGGAGAGGGCGATTAATTCCTATTTGCTCGACTGCCACGAGATGTGTCCGATAGGCTCGAGTCGGTAGATGTAGCCGGTGCGCGATCGCCTGTTGTCGGAGTCGCCAGCGTGATCAGCATCTACGTAGCCGATTAGCTTGGGTGCCGTGGTTCCGGTTTTGTGGTAGGTTAGCCCGACTGTTGGAGTGCTGACGAGATAGTGAAGAGCACGGTCGAGCTCCGCCATATGATCTGCTTCGGGTTTCTTGAGGTAGGTGGCAAGTTGGCTCGCTGAGTACGATAGGTCCGGTCGGCAGGTAACGGCTGCGAAGAGCAGACAGCCTAGCTTTCGTTGGTAGTCGCGAATGCCGGCGGGTTTGAGCAGAGCGGAGGTTTCCTTGTGACTTCCGTCGGTGTAGCGGTAGGGCGTGGAGATAGTGGCTGGGGTAAGTTCGAAGCGCTTGGCAATGGTGTCATCGTATTTGGCGGCGCTGAGGTAGATCGCGTTCTCTCCTTCCTGTATGTTGAGTCCGAGATACTGTGTTACGGTGGAGGAAACGGTGAGTGTGAGATCCTGCTGCAGCTCCCCTTCGAACCAGGTCGTGATGCCGTCGGTCGAGCCGATGTAGAGTAGACGATGAGCAGGATGTAGTCGGTGCCTTTCGTGAGTCGGTACATGCCTTGGTCGTGCGGCAGTTGCTTGAAGCCGATGCGGATGAGCCGGGCGTGTAGGTACTGCTGCCACAGCCTCGGAGCTTGCTTGATACCGTACAGGGACTTAGTAGCTGGCAGACTTGGTTGGGGTCTGCGTTGGAGCCGTGTGGTTGCTCGACGAAGATCTCAGCATCGACAGGTGCGTAGAGAAAGGCGTTAGCGACGTCGATTTGACGAAGTTTCTTCCGCTTCATGGCGGCTATCGCGAGGAGAATCCGCAGTGAGGTGTGTCGGCTGACCGGCGTAAATGTTTCGGTGAAGTCTCGTCCTTGCTCTTGGTCGAAGCCACGTACGACCCAACGCGCTTTAAACTTGTCGATGGTTCCATCTGCCTTTGTTTTCACGCGGAAAACCCATTTCCCGGTGAGAAATGTCTTATTGTGTGCCACTCCGATGGGTACGACCTTCCAAGAGTTGCGTTCTTCCAGCGCTTTTAATTCCCTGT